TCGGGGGTGAATATTGTCTGTACCTGGCGATGCATTCTTCCTCAGGGCCAATAGCTTTGTTTTAACCTTTTCGGCAGTGAATGATACGGTGGTTAATGAAGGATGTTGAATTTGTTGCATTTGTTCATTAGTTGACGCAGCAAAAACGTGGGTATACTGGTTCTTCAGCATTTCAGCGGCTTCCATCGTATTGGCTCTGACTCTCCCAGAGAACTGAGCACCGGTATTCCATGTTTGACTTTTCGGGCTGAGTTAACATGTTTGTACAAAAGCTTGGAATTTGAAATATGCATAAATGCATAAGTTGAACTACAATGCATCCTAAAAACAAGTACTGTACAATTTACTCCGTACCCTCCAATACGAAAAACGTTACCAAAGTTTTCTTTATCAATTTGAATTATTAATTTTCCAATTGTCGCTGGTTCACGCTTATAGTTGCATCGTTGTGTTTGGTTGGTTCATTGTTCAATGGCACTTTTTATCACCATGTGCACCAAGTGACAGTTTTGTCACAGCTATTGTTTTTCTCCATTCTCGTCTATTCGAAGGGAAGCGATCCGCATCCGCTACGTCTGGTTGCACCATTAAATTATTCCACCCGTAAAATTCAATGATTTCATGTCGCCTGCATCGACGAGCTAGGCCATTTTACTCATTCCGTGCCCGTTTCAGTGAAGCGTGTCCGAATCGGTCTGTCGGCCGTTGTTCTAATTCTGGCTGGTTGTTAGAAAAACCCGCCCTCTGGTTTGTGATTTGGTCCGGACTGAGGAGATAGATAAAAGAATTAGAAGTTTTCCAGTCAACGTTTCGTGCTGTCTATGCAAGATGAATGATCTGATTGGAGGTATTCCTTCCATAAAGCTTTCTCTCTGGTGAGGTTTCATTGCGCAGCTTTATTGGGTTCATTGTAATAATATTTCTATTCGTAACGGAACTGGACTCGAGCACTAGTTGGCTGACTATACTATCAAATAATCATTATGTAGACTGCATCCAGGAGGAGGCTCAGATTGAACGATACACTGTTCTTTAGCTTTTGCTCACCCCAGCTGAAGTTGGTCTGTTGTATAAAAATATGTTTGGTTTATTTTGTACTTTGGCTCATCTTGGTAAGACGAGCTGCGGGAAAACGATTTGCATCAATTATCTTCCATCATCGATGGTTTTATATTTGTATATATTTCGTCGTGTGTACATTTAGCTCGTATTTAAATTATCTGGACGCGCGCGCTGATTCAAAGCTGGACAATTGGACCAGTTCTCTCGGGCTGGTGATTGATACGGATTCGTGTGCACCACCATTCAATTTATGCGAACCCCCTCCAGAGAATCAATCTGATGCTGACGAATCGGATTACTCGGATCCAGATAATGCCACCCAGGTCTCTGTTTCTGATCAAGACCAAGAACCGAAGTCGAAGGAAGAAGGTATCGCTGCTTTAACCAAGGCCAGTGGCTCACCGTCAGAGGAACAGCATTTTGTCTTGACTGATTCTGTTAGTCCAGTTAATGCAGACGGAGCTCTCCACGATTCGAAAAACCTTACAACGAGCCGGCAAAAAAGACAACCTCGACTGACTCAATTGCGTGACAGTGTCAATGAGTTGCAACGGACTTTGGATGAATTACTAAACGAGGGGAAGGACTTGGATCAACAACTGGCTAAAGCCACGGCTGATCTGGAATACCGTATGGACGAATTAGACAAGTAAGGTTCTGTTCTTTTTGTGTGATGAGTCGGGGGCTGATGGTAGCTGATGAACCGCAAACCTTGCCGATGATTCGCTAAGAGCGTAACATGTTAGAATAACTAAATGCCTAGGTCATGTTTAGTGTGACGTGTAGGAAGCAGCTTTTTCTGTAGTCGGTTCAATACCATTTAACTGACATGAAAAAATGTTTTACACTTTACTTGAAAAGATGAGTTAGCTTTTCAGAAAATCTGCCGTCACTTCGCGGATCTTACCGATTTCGATGTGCGTTAGTATTGAAACTACTCAAAGCTGTTCGCAAGTTTCACAAACGAGATGTTCACCGATGGCTGGGTGTCGCAAACAGTGGCGCTCGTGCATCCACTCATTATTCTCCTAACACCACTCAGTATGAGTTCTCCATCTTCCGCTTGAGTTTGCTTTCAACATTCCAGTCTTCATTCTGCTCTTTCATCTAAATGGGACACCAAAAGACAGCAACCAAAACCGGCACACGAAAGTGCATGGTTAATGGTTGTAAAAACTGAACTAAACCAATTAATGAGATGAAAACTAGCAATTCCGTGTGGTTATTGGATGAAAAATATTGTTGTCTGTGTCATATAGTGTTTCCAATGTGGTCGCTCTTCTTTTACCACATCAATATCCTTTTCTGATAGGGACACATGAAACTTGTTTTGCCAACCAATTCGAATGATGCACGTGGTTTTCTCATAGCTCTTAATCGGTTTATCGGTTGAGATTTGTGCGCTGCACCCCAAAAATATGTATCGTGATCGTTTCGAGAAAGAGCTAACTTTAAACAGCGTCTAACTGTGAACGCAACTGATTCTCGAACCCAAAATCTCACAGACCGGTGAACCTTGGCATATTGTGCACAGTTGAAGATGTCCGGTTTCATCAAGCGATTGGTCCATATGCGTTGCGATTTCCACTGACTGGCTCTTCACTTTGTTCGACGGACTCATGCACCAAATATGATAAAAAAGCCTAAAAAAGTTACACGATTTTTTTAATGGTTTCAGTTCAGATTTCATTTGTTTCATGCTGTACAAACTTACCTCGTATTCACACCAGTTCTTCTGCGAATCATTTCCACACGGTCGTGGACTAGTAATCTGAGGAAACATCCTTTTTAACCTGTTTTTGGTTTAACTTACCCACCACCGCGAACTGCTTTTTGTACATATCAATATTTATAAAAGATGAAACGACTTTTTGGATTTTGCTATTCAGCACTGGACTGCCTCATACGAGTCTGGATTCCTGCTTTTTTCATTTGAATTAATTTTAGAGCTCAGACTCAGTACAACGAGCAAAAACAAACGCTGTTGGATTCCACGAATGAATTGCTGTCGCTCGAATCCCGAGTCGCAGATGCTGAGAGCCACTTGCAACGTCTCGCACGTACCAATGTGCTCAACACCACCTTCCCTATTTGGTATGATGGACACATTGGAGTGATCAACGGATTGCATTTGGGAAGATTATCGAACAGACCAGTGAGTAGGCTTACTNCTTCCCCCCCCCCCTTCTCAATACACGCTCAACAAGACGAAGTCCTACTCATTCGAGAGGAAACAGGACATTGTCTCGCCCTCTGACTCTACTGGCATGATCAGATCTTCGGCTTGACAAAAGCCATCCTGTGTAGCTCGTTGGGTCAGAGAGGTGCGTCCACTATCACACCGCGTCAAGGTCTAATCTCATCGCGAGGGTTATCCGAGCTGGAACTATTGTTTGCATATTGTCTCCCAGCCAGATTAGGCAACATTGGTGAAGAGCCGCTCCGCTTTGTGACAGGCTTAGGTAGTTCTGTTCGCATCCGCATCCCAAACCACAATCATTGAGGAATATAACAAGCAACACTTCAGCTTTCCTGTTATGACAGGTATGGAATGATACGTCTTGATAAGCACATGTAAACCGTATGGGCATTTGATGAATAATGAGAGCCGATATGCGATGAAATTGTGTACTGGGCTACCAAAAGCATTGGACAACTGTTCTCTGTTTGTGACTAACCACAGTTGTCTACTATTCTGTTGTCCCTACTGGTAATTGGGTCGTAGATTCAGTAGGTTGAAATTCCCACCCCTGAGCAACACATTGGACGGTCAACATCTTGAGCACATACCTTTATTTTGTGTGACATTGTCATATCTTTACACACCCGAGTTCAAACTTTGTGCCAAACAACTCGCGGAACAATAGTCTTTAGGAGAAGAAAAAGGTTCATGATTTGTTCGAGAGCATGATAGTGCCTAGGTTGCCCTGGCTAAGAACGTGAATTGTCTTAGGGAGTTCACATACGGAGCCAAAACCTGACCCAAAAGGCAGCGAGGCGGTGTATTAAAACCGCAGCCCATTAAATACTGGTCTCCAGTTCATCGGATTATACGCCCTTCGGACGGGTTCAAACGTCCAAGTAGCCCAATATAGCTCGATACCCAATGGAGCTGGTGGTCACTGCCACGACCAAGAAGGTGTGTTTGTGTGGTTCGTGCGTCTGTTCTTGGTTGGTTTCGAATCAAGGTTTTTAGCCAACTCCCCCAGGTGAACTGCCAGTGGTTCACGGACCCGGTTACAGCCCTAGATAATTGCTTTTCGTCCTCTCACTTTGGTGCGAAAACCTCCGTCATTAGAAGGATGTGAGTAGAGACTCCTGAGCAGAGGCTTTGAGAGGCTTGGTCACATGTGGTCATTTCGCAATGTGCAAAAGAGGTGTGACCAGCCCCAACCCCAGAAACCCAACCTGGAGCATACTGAGGCTTTCCGAGGCTCATTCTTGTATTTTTTGTGGGTCTATCTCTTTGGCGGTTCGCTGATTTTCGACATGTCTGTGCAGTTCATGTTATCTTTTAATTACACATATAAATACACTAAAAGAGATAAACCCCGCAATGCAAGAGTACGGGAGGGAAATAACTTTGTTATTCTGCATTTCATGATAGCAGTTTTAGTTTTGCGGCAAAAAAGTTAGAGACAAATTGTTTCCTATTTTTACCGATGTTGGAGGCAAAGGTAACTGAACGTTGAAAGTGCGGCACTTTAAAGTAGCTTGCCCTTTATAAACCAGAATCTCAAGGAAGAACTTTCTAAGGAGGGACGGTAGAGGCATATTCGTTTGAAGAAAAAAATGAAATATTAGCGTTTGCACAAGGATAAGGAAACATGTTCAACGTTGGCTACGAATTACATCGCAAACACTGATCGAATATGAGGCGTACGTTGAACCTGCTTGAGAAGGGGGGGGGGGAGATAGATACACTGGAAGTTACACCGTACGTATATGGCGGTAGTGTTCACATATGGGACGAATCTGAATTTTTTCAACTGAGAAGAGGTCATTGGAAGGGAAGAAACATTTGAAACAGAAGGGGAAGACGATCCTGAGCACAACATGAATGATAAGTCAACGCATACAGACAGCATGGGTAGATAGAGATAGTTCGGAACACATGACTGAATGTGAAAAGGTTTCGATGAGGATTTCAATGCGAAGTGCAAAATTCTAGCAGAAATTAACTAGGAATTCATGCCTGAAATGGAGATCATTGGCCAAAAGCTGGTTTCCTGTCCCAACGAGGGAAACAATTGACAATGGATAGCTTTCCATCAAACTGAACCGCTATTGGAATTTTATTGTGTTTCCTCTGTTTCTAGTTTTCACTGATAGTTTGAACCGATGGTATCAACCCGGTACATATGTCTACCGAATGGGGTTTGTTAATGTGACTTTTGAGCTGTTCGTCTGCATGTTTGAGTACGACAAGTGACGCGCTGAATTTTAGATCAATCTGATCTCTCTCTATTTCCATCCATCCTTCGATATGTCTGTTTTTTTGGTTATGATCAGAACAGCTCATTGCCTAAATCAGATGCTTTGTGTATGTGAATGGGTGTGAATATTAGCGCTTATTTCTCGTTCTCTCTAGGGCGCTTATCATTGTACATCAACTCCTTCCTCCGCTGATTTAAACGGGACGAATACCCGATTAGATTCTATATGATTAGGGGTAGAATGAACAGAACGGAAAGAAAACATACGCTTCTAGATACAAAGGCGACGAACCGAAAAGCTGTTCGAATTGAGACTGGTTCGTTGGTAAAATGCATATATCTCAAACAGATAAATTATTTATCATCCCCGTTATTGTGCAATAAATTTCCCCTCTGGATGCAATTTACCGTTTCACCTCAGTTCGTTTGATTTTTGCTGCTACTCGGTGTTGGACTGTTCAGTGAAATACAAGTGTTTTACTGGCTGTATTCGGTGAACTGAGTATTTCGGAACGTCTCAGACTGATTCTGCTTTGCATCGTCCGCTCACTTTCCCAACTGTTTTCATTTGTAGATCGCTTGGGAAGAAATAAACGCGGCTTGGGGCCAATGTGCTATGCTGTTGCAGTGCATAATACGCAGGTTAAATTTTCAATTTCCCCAGTGAGTTTGACCATGTGCTGATTAGTGCTGTCGCGATTTTGTTTGGCGTTTCAGTTCGGTCAGCTGTCCTCGCTACGAACGTTATCTATCGTGACGACATTTGGTACTTTTTCTAAGGTGACTGTGAACCGGAAAATTATTGTAATGATGTCACTTATTTCGTATGAAAAATAATACGAGCTGATCCCACTCAATGCAAACAGGACACAGCTTTTTCATGTAAAAAAAATACTCCCGAAAATGGTTATATTTTAGAAATAGTCACCACGTCCGTTAGGTCACTGTGCTGTGTTTTAATATACTGTTTGTTCGGCTGTTCAGACCACACCTATGTAATATGCACAACAACGTTTTCCGACCTACGCCTGGGGTTCACATCGTTAGCTGACTTCCGTCTACGATCCACAAAGGTGTTAGATTAAATTTAACCGAATACTTGGATAAATTATGAAAATCACAGACGACTGTCTTCTGTATGTTGACTTTGGATTTCTTTCGTTATCAACGCCAGAGTTTAGAGCGGTCGACTGAGTCGAAAACCTCTTTCAGATCCGGGAAGATAGAGATGGTGGGTCTACGAAAAGAATGCCGATGCTCCAGAATTTGGCGGAGTGAAGATTTGGTCGCTACAACCTCGACCGGGTCTAAAACCAGCCTGGTTCTCACGCGTGCACCGTTCACGTGCGGTAGACAATCGACGAAATATGATGCCGGCGAAAAGTTTAGAGACGATGTTGATTGAACTAATTCCTCTGTGGTTTTCACAAAAGGATCTGTCGTCTTTCCTGTGAATCGGTATTATGACCGACTCACACCATTCAGTTGGAACCTGTTATGTTTCCCACACTAAGCCCAGGAGTTTTGTTAAGTCCGAGACTAAGGCTGAGCC